ACAGAAGGCAAGTAAAACAAAAGCAATTCCGGATTACCTTCGACACTCAGCTCTCGACGCTCTGTTTAAAACTGATCTGTGATTGATCGCAATCCTTTCGACAACCAACCACATAGCACAATAAAACCAATTGCGACTCGATCACTTTCGCCTTGCTCCAGGTAGTTTAAATTAGGATCGCCTTGACTCCTTTTGATCACTAATCTTCATTTTGATTCATAAGTTGTGAATATTTGATTCTCAATCGAGAAGCACTCTCAGTTGCCGAAAAGTTTCGCTTATAGTCTGAAAACCCAGCCTTTTCCTGACTCCAATCTGCCGCAGGGCCGGAGAAAATCTCTCATGCCTAGGCTACCCTCGGCGGATTGAAGCGAGAAGAGAGCCGACACCAGATTTCATGTACTTACCGTAAGGCTCACCACTCTTGACCAGGGATTTATCCCCGACTTTGTACAGTGTACTAGAACTTTGAGTCTTGGGTGCAGTCCCATCTTGAAAATTGACTTTGAACGAATCCTGATTAAAGTTGTCGTCTGTAAAGCAACATTGAATCCAAATAAGAAATTTCAGGCAATTTTGGGAGGGGGAAATGTGGTAGTATTGAAGAAAGGCACAATTTGGATTTAAGTTTGTGTCTGTTAAATACAGGAAGTCTTAAAATATTAGGATCGCCCCATAAGAGTTTCATCTCAATTACAAGAAGTGATAAAAGTATTGGTCTTTTTGATACGGAAGCGATGAAATTTTCATAGCAGCCCCTTCAGGCTAGTTTATACCTCTTGCTGCACTGGCAATATGAGTTTTCAGATTTTTATTTCCTATTTTTTTGTCCTCAGATTCTCAGAAAAAGGTTCGCCATTGAGACAGATCTTCCTTAAGGCGCTTTATTCGAACACAGAGGGTAAAAATTCCCTTCCTTTCAGATAAATTCCTGGCGCTTTGAAAGACCATATTACTTCTTGTTTTAAGATAACAAATTGATTGTTCACCGTAAACACTTTGACTCATGTAAATCTTATATGTTTTTCTAAGACTTTCCTTTTGAATCTGAGGTACCTGTCGCTGAGCGGATCATCTAAAACCCGAAGTGTATAAGGGAAATGCTTAACACGTCAGCTCGGCGACGGACGACTTAAGTATGAATAAAACACTTTCCGTCCATACAAAAATCATGAATTTAAGATATTTACACTTACGTTCTAGCGTATGTTTCCTTTGCTCAGCTGTGGAAATTGAGACGTTTGCTAGGAGCAAACAAGCTCCAAGAAAATTTACAAACAACCAGGCTTTCATGTCATACCCAACGACATTTCGTATTTAATAAAAAGAAAGCAATTAGCCATGGTACGTCACAGTTGAAATTGGAAAGCACGCGAAATTCTAATTACACGCGCTTTTGAATGCACGCTTTAAAAAGCATATTCCTGATTAGAGAAATCAAAAGCTGCTCTGAGGAGGGGCAAAGGTGCCCTTATCACTGTGGCTTCTCTACAGGCGTGTTGCTTGGAAACACGTACTACTTGCTACATATGCATTAACCTATTAAACAGCATTCTCATACATTCAGATTAATACACTTACCATTTTTTTTAAAAATAAACAACCCTGAACTTCCTTATTTGCACAATACCCACCTAGATAAACATTCGTTTGTCGTGGATGTTACATCCTGTTTGCTTCAACGCCTTAACAAGCACATGCAAACCTCAACAGGTGACTGTTTGCCTCTCCAACACTGTCAGACATACATTGACAAGTTTACGTTGATTCTCAGGCTTTTTGAACTGGCCCCTCGAGAGGTGGGGACCAATTTGGACTTGAGGGCAATTTTGCTCTCTTCATTTTACCGCGTCAGTTACCTGCACAATGACTAAATGTCAGAACCAGTTGTATGTGATACACCTGAATAAAATACATTGCAGATGTAAATTATTTTATGGGGATTCCATGGTTTTTGGAGGGAACGGCGGGGGATCAGTTTTCGCCAACAGAGTATAGAGGAGGGGGGGGGGGAAGATGTAGAAAATTGACTGTCAATTAACTGCTGATGAAGGAATCAGGTAAATTCTATCAAGACACAATCAAGATCCCCCCACCCCCCCGGCGATAATAATGATCGATCCATTCGCCATGTAGCCAAGAAAAGCTATTACATCTTATTGATCTTCTTTGTTTATTTGCAGATACCTGAATCATAAAGGCAGATAATCTTCTGTGTGTTTTTGTTCGAGAGATGCGTAGTGCGGAAGTTTCAAGGTACCAGACAACGGCAAAATGGTAGGCGTGAGGCTGGTCCACCTGTTTGGATACGTGTTCTGCGATACTATCCACTCTACTAATTGGTCACCCTGGGGTTGTGGTGTCCATGTGAATGCAGCTATCAATGTCGTTGTAACCCGAGAAAACCAGTTTGTGACGAACAGTGGTGGGAAATGGCACAGAATTCCAGGATACAACTCTATGAGCCCTGAGCTAGAGCTTAAAGTGTTTTCGACTCCTATTCCTGTAACTGATGAAAAACCTGCTTTGACGTCTACATCGTGTGTACGTCTAACATGGCAAGACGTCCGCGCAAAGACTTCTCGAAGATTACGTACTATTAATAGATTACATGCTTCTAAGTAAAGATAATCGGTAAGAAACATCTACAAATATATTGAGGACTTGATGCAAGCTTGTTCTTTTGCCGTGCGAAGATTTGAACAGTTCCTCTGTCCTTCCCTCTTAAAAGCATTTTCTCAAGATTGATATCAGAGCGAACCAATACGCAAAACGATGTGTTACCTGTTTTGAACACATGCAGGTGTCCAATTGTAGACACTATTGTCCTATTTCGGACAATATCGTGCAATTTTATATCCAGTTTCGGACAGTATTTTCTGATTCTGAACGGTATTATCCAGTTTTGGAAGCTATTATCCAGGTTTGTAGGATTCAATGCGATTTTGGATAAAGAAAAACCAATTTGCATTTTTCGCCTTGTTACTTTTTCATCACTCTCTGAAGCTAAAATATGTTTTACTGAAAAGGAGAAGTATTTAAGTTCGTTTAATGAATTTTCATCTCTTAAAGAAGACAATCAGCCCTAAAATACACATTGGATATCAATGATAATGAATAAATAAGTTCTTTAACGAATTCGTTGTTATAAATTGAAGGACCCGATCCCCGGCGAAGCTTGTAATCATTTGCCTATGACAATTAACTTTAAAGCCTAATAACGAAGCAGCTTAGGTTCCGCAATTCCAATCAGGAATTACTGTGATCCTGAAATTAAAACAAATCAAACAATATATCGAGACTGCGAACCCGATAAACTGGTGAACTTCGTACCTCCATGATACACTGGGTTTGTGTTAGTCCAATAATATGCGTATTGCGGTTTGAGGGTTACTCATACATAAAAGAGGTTTTAAAGTTTTTAAATCTGGAAAGTGGTACGCTTTCCCCCCACGGGGTGGAGTTGACATTTTCTGTACATTTAAACTCATCAAAATTTTGAAGATGGTGTTGTATCCAATTCGAACCAAATCATAGAGGAAACTAGCATCCAGCGATGACGGTCATTGCATGAATCAAAAGGTATGAAAATTATCAAAATGCCATTTGATCAGCGGGCCGAGAGTTTCTGGAGGCATTTTTAACTCTTGCTTTCATGTAATCGAGGTGTAAATTTCTCATTTTGTTAATCGTTATCCTCACCATTATTATTGTTATTATTATCATTATTGTTATATTTGTGACTATTATGTAGTGTTATCAGTCGCTTTCCTTCTATCACAAGGGTAGCTTGGAAAACCAGATTTGAACTTAGTAAAGCTGGTCGTAATTAGTATGTTTCGCTTGTCGAAATGTGGGACAGAAAAAAAAAAAAACCAGCCTTCTGCCGTGGGAAACGAAACATCCAGTGGAAATTCATTTAAAACGGGTATATACGTGCCGAATGAACAAGCTTTCAAGATTATAAGCCACTTCAGGTATATTTGAAAAATATGTCTTTGCAAAACGAGAAGACCGAGGAAAGAAACAACTGTTTCCAATATTTTAAATTATAAATTTCATTATGAGACAGCCAAAATCTTCTGACATCCTTTTTCCAGGTGATAAAGTAAGGAGTTGTATTTGTTTCAATCTGTCCTTGATCAAATATCGAAAAAATGTTCTTATCAAACCAGCTGGAGGTTGAACTCAGGATAGCAATACAAAAATTTACTGGTTCTGACACTGTCAATCTGCAATTAAGTCTTACCTGGTGTGCTACTTAAGAAGGCAAATAAGATAAAACCAACAAATATTGCGTATAAAAAACGATAGTTTTAGAGCCAACTACTCTAAACCTGTCTCCGGTCGATCCCTAATTGTATTTGTTTCAAACTGTCTTTAATCAAATATCAAAAAGTTTACTTATCAAATCAGCTGGAACAAACACAAAGAGACTTTTCAGCAAACACACTTAGTCGTTTCGTTCGTTAACATGCACAGCATTATCCCCTGTTGTCATCTGTGTGTTGGATCATAGATTACGTTTTGGTAAACTTTAGCATGGACTCTAACTCCAATTCCACAGAACAAGCTGAGAGGTGTTAACCCGCTAACCACTGACTAGTATCGAGTTTCTCCTTACTGTATCACTGCTAAATCAAACGTTATGACCATGAGAACAAAGGAAATGATCATCAACTTAGGGAGCTCTTGATTATCAGGCAAATTCTCCTCGTTATAACCATGAGGAAAGTATAGAGAACGGTATGGAGTATATGCATACTGGCTCAGGAAGCAACCATCTTTGAAAAGAATGGCAGCAAACTTGGCCTAACTTTGAACGATCATCAAGCGACTATTTAGATAGAGACAGCTGATTGCCTTAAACTGTATTTACAGATAAAAAGACACTCAGAAAAGCAAACAAATAAATTCAATCCGTTTGAGCTCAATTAAAGTGCTCCAGCTGTATTTGACTTGTCCTACGCACTTAATGAACTGTTAACAGCTTATGGACGATCTTCAACTAAAAGCTAAGTGGCTTTGCAAAGTATAAAAGAGGCCCAAGAAGAATCAGCCACACAGCAGAAATCTGCTAAAGAAGAGGATTTTACGACGAAGAGTGCCGAGGTAAGTTTTGAATGGCTTTACACGATTTTGAATTGCCAAAGTGAGTGTCTTAGATGGACCCTTCTTATTCAAGTAAAATGGCTTGCATTGAACCTTAAAACCCTTGAGGTTGATTTCATTACCCACATCATTTATTTGCTTCTTTACGATATATAAAAAAAAATTGTATGGCATTACATATTATAAGAGGCGAGGAGACCCAGGAAGCCATCAGGCTTATGGGAGACGTCACCTCACTTAAAACAATATATTGAAAAAAGAATAAGTGCAGAGAATGCGCGATTTGGCCAATTCAGTAATTATTTAAGTAAAAACTCTTGCATTTTCGTCTTAAAGGTAAGAAGAATTGACGAACAAGTGACTGACTGAGTTCCAACTTTTAGGACGTTGAGAATAGAAAATTGCTTGAGACTATTCGACGTAAATGTATTCGATACCATAGCAGTGAATTTTACAATTGCTAACGAAACACCTTCGCTTTACGTCGGAAATATCGAGCTGTTGTATGTAAGGAAGTTGAATTTATACATCATTTGTACTCTGCAGGCCGCTAACATATGTTTCAATTAATTTCAGGAGACCTAAGACAGAAAAATGGCAATTAAGAAGATATTGTGCTTCATCTTGGTTGTGCTTGCCTTGACATGTCCGGATGAGATCACTGGAGGTATTTATCAATGCAGTTTAAATTACATTTCCTTGTTTGAAAACTAACAATCTCTTCTCATTCAGAACTATTATTTCCCAGACGCAAATTTCCAAAGATTCGTTCCGCTGTATCCTTGGAATCAAATTTATTTAGATCACTTGTGCTTTTGAATCATCTTACTGAGAGGTTTCGATATAAATTTTGTAAAAGGGTGAAATGAATTTAAGTCATGAACTGCCTCGGAAGAGAACTATCCTTAGAGATCCATTTGGTCTTTGGTGAAGTTTTTTTTGCTAACCAACTAGTCGAAGAAAAAATGAACGAAATTGTCTGCTATTCGATTTACAAAAAGGCCAAAATAAGGGAATCACTTCTTTCTTTAAATAGAAAAAAACTGAAAAAACATATTAACAATAACGCACACTTTAGATTTCACTCATGTAGATGACCAAGACAAAAGATTTATCTATTAATCTTTAATACTTATTTATTATTTAGTACCCTCTAGCTTTGATTGTTCCTCCTCAGATAATTCTATAAAAGCAAATGGATCTCCCGTGTGTTTTGGTACGAGAGATACACAAATGGGAAAGTTTAAAGTTCCCGTGCATGGCAAAATGGGAGGCGTGAGGCTGGTCCACCTGTACGGCTACGTGTCTTGTCACACGCCAGACAAACCACATTGGTCACCTTGGGGCTGTGGTTCTGGAGCGCACGAGGAGATCAACGCTGTCATAACCAATGACAAAAATCAACATCTTTTGCCCCCTACGGAGTTCCTGAGCGACCACCACGCACCAGGAAAATGGCACAAAATTCCAGGTTACAACTCACTGAGCCCTGTCATTGAGCTAAAAGTGTTTAAAGATCCCATTAATGTGAGTGCTGGCCAGGAGCTACGACTGTGGTACGGTGAAGATTTGACCAACTGGACCGAGCATGACAACGGGGGAAGAACCTGCGCTGATGTTTTCATCCTGTACGTCTGAGATGGAATATTCCAGTTTTAGAAGATTTGCTTAGAAGAAGAACCTGTAATAAGGTTAAGAAGAAATAAACCGAGGGTTTTAAAGGGAAAGCTGCTCTGTTTCTTTGAAGTTTATAACACATGCACAGCTTTGTTACACTCTTCCTCCTCTCTAAAAACATATCTCGACACATTTGAAGTCCCTTGTTACTTATTTCCCTCAACGCCTCGAAGTATCGTGATAATCTCACTTAGCAGAACAGCGCACACTTTAATGTAAACCTTAAACGGGCAAATGAAACACACAAACTCCATAAAGGCCTACGAACACTTCAAATAAATGACACAATAAACTAAGAGAACGATAAAAAAAATTGAAAAGAAAAAATGGCAAAGAAAAATGGAAAAGAGAAAATGGAAAAGAAAAAAGGGCAAAAGAAAAACAAGCTGTAAAATCTACATATTTATTTTTTTTTTAAAACTTTCCCATTTTAAGTAAAGCGTCGCAGTTATATAATAATTCTCAATTTTAAAGTAGTTGTAATTGTTATAGCAATACAGAATTTCGTAAGTTGTTGAGTGTACTTATAAAAAGCGCAGTTTCAAGCAAATCTACGGGTCACTGCTGTTTTGAAAAATAATCAAATCCACGCCAGCATTACTTACTTGACTGATTACAAAGTCAAGGCGGTCAGTAATTAAATGAAACAGGAAACTATTCTTTAGATATGCACTTGTTCCTTGACGCAAGTCAGGTTTTGAATGAACTTTCAATGCTGCCAATCTTCACTCGTTCTCTTTCGTGTTTAGATTAGCACGTTTTGACCAACATGAAGGAATTTGATGGCCTTTTCATTCAAACACTAATCTGATTTTAGACACTAATGTCTAATTTTCGATACAGTTTTCCTTTTTTGGACAGTGTTGTCCAATATTTGACAAAACATGCTTTACTGACAAGGAAAAGTACGTAAGTTTGTTTAATGGCTTTTCATCTCTTAATTTAAAGACAATCAGCCCTAAAATACGCACGGGACATCAATGATAATGAATTAAATGGGTCCATTGACGAGTTCGTTGTTATAAATCGATGGACCCGACACTCGGCGGAGCATGCAATCATTCGCCGATGACAACTACCTTTAAAGCCTAATAACGAAGCAGCTTAGGTTCCGTAATTTCAATCAGGAATCACTGTCATCCTTCATAAAAAATTAAACAATATATCGAGACTACGAAACCGATGAACTGGTGAACTTTGACAAAATCGTAGCCCCATGATACACCACCTTTGTGTTAGCCCTTCAACCACTAACGAGTGACAGATCGTGACAAGCATCCAATTTGTCACTACGCTGTCATGATCACTCCTGAAAGGAACACGAAGGTCACGAGAATAAAAGAAATGAACACCAACTAAAAGAAGCTCTTAGTTTTCAGTCTCCTGGTAAGCACCTCAGGAAATGTATAGGGAACAATTTGAAGAACATGCACATTGATGTTTGGGTGTAAAGGGTAACTCATATATTAAAGAGGTTTAAAGTTTTTAAATTCTGAAGAAAAAGTATTTATCAAAAAGTATCAAATTTAATAAGGTGCCATTTGCTCGGCAGGAGAGAGAGTTTGTGGAGCCATTATTAACTTTCGCCTTCAGATAATCGAGGTGCAAGTTTCTAGTTTTGATATTGATCATCTTATCATCTTCATCATCATCATTATCATCATTATTATTGTGATTATTATTCAGTGTTATCAGTCGCTTTCCTTCTATCATAAGAATAGATTGATCTTCGAAAACCAGATTTGAACCAAGTAAAGCTGATCGTAATTGGAAAGTTTCGCTTGTCCAATTGTTGGAACAGAAGCAAAATAACCTGTTTTCTGCCGTAGGAGACGAAACATTTAGTGGAAATCGATTTAAAGCGAGCATATACGATTATATACGTGCCTTATTAACAAGCTCTAACGATTATGCCACTCACTTCAGGTTTATTTGACAAATATGTCTTAGCAAAACGAGAAAAGAAACAATTGTTTCCGACATTTTGTATAAACACAATCAATATTTCTTTCTCACATACAACGTCATGAGTCAAATTGAACTGATCAAACATTACACAGCTCGTGAGGGGAGGTGGAAGGAAGAGGGGGTCGGGTCTGTAAAAGAAAGAGTTAGAATACCACAAAGTCTAAGGAGGGAAACAAGTAAATTTTATTGTGATACAACCAAAATCTTCTGACACTCCACCCCCAGGTGATAAATTAACGACCGGCCAATCCCTAATTGTGTTTGTTTCAAACTGTCCCTGATCAAGTATCAAAAAATGTTCTAAACCAGCTGGAAGTTGACCTCAGGATAGCTCGGAAAATATACAAATGGTTCCGACACTGTGTCAATCTGCAATTTAGTCTTTCCTGATATGCTACTTAAGAAGGCAAATAAGGTAAAACTAACAAATTTTGCACGTGAAAAATAATAGTTTACAGCCAAGTACTAATCAAATAATGAAAAGTTTACTTATCAAATCAGCTGGAACAAACACAAAGAGATTTTTCAGCAAACACTTTTGGTGGTTTCGTTGGTTAACATGCACAGCATTATCCCCTGTTGTTATCTGTGTGTCGGATCACAGGTTGTGTGTTAGTAAACTTAAGCATAAACTCTAACTCTGATTGCGTACAACAAGCCGAGAGGTGTTAACCCGTTAACCACTGACTAGTATCGAGTTTCTCCTTACTGTATCACTGCTAAATCAAACGTTATGACCATGAGAACAAAGGAAATGATCGTCAACTTAAGGAGCTCTTGATTATCAGGCAAATTCTCCTCGTTATAACCATGAGGAAAGTATAGAGAACGGTATGGAGTATATGCATACTGGCTCAGGAAGCAACCATCTTTGAAAAGAATGGCAGCAAACTTGGCCTAACTTTGAACGATCATCAAGCGACTATTTAGATAGAGACAGCTAATTGCCTTAAACTGCATTTACAGATAAAAAGACACTCAGAAAAGCAAACAAATAAATTCAATCCGTTTGAGCTCAATTAAAGTGCTCCAGCTGTATTTGACTTGTCCTACTCACTTAATGAACTGTTAACAGCTTATGGACGATCTTCAATAAGCTCTTTAACGAATTCGTTGTTATAAATTAAAGGACTCGATCCTTGGCGAAGTTTTTAATCATTTGCCTATGACAATTAACTTTAAAGCCTAATAACGAAGCAGCTTAGGTTCCGCAATTCCAATCAGGAATTATTGTGATCCTGAAATTAAAACAAATCAAACAATATATCGAGACTGCGAACCCGATAAACTGGTGAACCTCGTACCTCCATGATACACTGGGTTTGCGTTAGTCCAATAATATGCGTATTGCGGTTTGAGGGTTACTCGTACATAAAAGAGGTTTTAAAGTTTTTAAATCTGGAAAGTGGTACGCTTTCCCCCCACGGGGTGGAGTTGACATTTTCTGTACATTTAAACTAATCCGAATTTTGAAGATGGTGTTGTATCCAATTCGAACCAAATCATAGAGGAAACTAGCATCCAGCGATGACGGTCATTGCATGAATCAAAAGGTATGAAAATTATCAAAATGCCATTTGATTAGCGGGCCGAGAGTTTCTGGAGCCATTTTTAACTCTTGCTTTCATGTAATCGAGGTGTAAATTTCTCATTTTGTTAATCATTATCCTCACCATTATTATTGTTATTATTATCATTATTGCTATTATTGTGATTATTATGTAGTGTTATCAGTTGCTTTCCTTCTATCACAAGGGTAGCTTGATCTTGGAAAACCAGATTTGAACTTAGTAAAGCTGGTCGTAATTAGAATGTTTCGCTTGTCGAAATGTGGGACAGAAACAAAAAAAAATAGCGTTCTGCCGTGGGAAACGAAACATCCAGTGAAAATTCATTTAAAACGGGTATATACGTGCCTAATAAACAAGCTTTCGAGATTAAGCCACTTCAGGTATATTTGAAAAATGTCTTTGCAAAAAGGAGAAAACTGAGGAAAGAAACAAATGTCTCCAACATTTTAAATTGTAAATTTCATTATGACACAACCAAAATCTTCTGACATCCTTTTTCCAGGTGAAAACGTAAGGAGTTGTTTTTGTTTCAAACTGTCCTTGATCAAATATCGAAAAAATGTTCTTATCAAACCAGCTGGAGGTTGAACTCAGGATAGCAATAAAAAATTTACAATTGGTTCTGACACTGTCAATCTGCAATTAAGTCTTAGCTGGTGTGCTACTTAAGAAGGCAAATAAGATAAAACCAACAAATATTGCGTATAAAAAACGATAGTTTTAGAGCCAACTACTCTAAACCTGTCTCCGGTCCATCCCTAATTGTATTTGTTTCAAACTGTCTTTAATCAAATATCAAAAAGTTTACTTATCAAATCAGCTGGAACAAACACAAAGAGACTTTTCAGCAAACACACTTAGTCGTTTCGTTCGTTAACATGCACAGCATTATCCCCTGTTGTCATCTGTGTGTTGGATCATAGATTACGTTTCGGTAAACTTTAGCATAGACTCTAACTCCAATTCCACAGAACAAGCCGAGAGGTGTTAACCCGTTAACCACTGACTGGTATCGAGTTTCTCTTTATCTTATAAGACTTTCTCTCTCTAAATCAAACGTTATGACCATGAGAACAAAGGAAATGATCGTCAACTTAAGGAGCTCTTGATTATCAGGCAAATTCTCCTCGTTATAACCATGAGGAAAGTATAGAGAACGGTATGGAGTATATGCATACTGGCTCAGGAAGCAACCATCTTTGAAAAGAATGGCAGCAAACTTGGCCTAACTTTGAACGATCATCAAGCGACTATTTAGATAGAGACAGCTGGTTGCCTTAAACTGTATTTACAGATAAAAAGACACTCAGAAAAACAAACAAATAAATTCAATCCGTTTGAGCTCAATTAAAGTGCTCCAGCTGTGTTTGACTTGTCCTACTCACTTAATGAACTGTTAACAGCTTATGGACGATCTTCAACTAAAAGCTAAGTGGCTTTGCAAAGTATAAAAGAGGCCCAAGAAGATTCAGCCACACAGCAGAAATCTGCTAAAGAAGAGGATTTTACGA